CCACAGCTCAAAGAGATGTTGTCATACCTGAAGAACTGAGACCTGTCAGGGTTGACCTGAAGACAGGCTGTAGGGAAGGAAGAGAGAGAGAAAGAGACAAGAAAAGGGTGAAAATTAAAAAAACAAACAAAAAAACAACAACCAAAAAAAAAACAGAACGAAAATAATTTATTAAGGACCGAATAAAAGCAGTGTTTAAGAAATTAAAGTGTAAGCAGGGATAATGATGGATTATAAGAAAAAAAAAATGTACAAAATTGTTCAAAATATCCTTAAATGTTGAATTTTGTACTCACTCAGCATCAGGCAGAATGGTGTTAACTGCATCCTGTGTCAACACCAACTAACAGAAAAACAGACGCTGATCTCTCACTTCCTGAAGATTTTGGTAGGCGTGTGTTGTTTTGCAGTGCTCGACAATCGAAATTGTTTGATCAGTTATCATGGCATGCGATTGATTTGATTAATGCAACTGACCTGCTTACTAAATGCATCGATTTTATTTCGGGGAAAGTACACCAAACTATAAAACAACCCAAGAAGTTGCCTATGCAAGTAATGCAATCATATATCAACAGTATTATCTGTTTTAATGCATATAAATGCTGGTTTGATATCCATTACTTGTTTTTGATCTCCCTTACACCAATTTATCTTTTTTACAAGATGCGAGCAGCCACCTTAACCCTTAAATGTGTAAGTGGGTCAAAAATGATGCTCCGATAGGTATCATAAGTTTCCTAGAAACAAAGGTCGTAAAGTTGTAAAGTAAAGTAAACAGTATGTGTGTAGCGATTGTAGCTCGAAACAGGTAGTTTGTCACAATTTAAAACAGAGAGCAGATAAGGCAAGAAAACAGCAATGTTTGACTAACTTACTTAAGAATGTAGAGTCCAGTCACTCGTGGATCTAAGATTAATATCAGCTGTGATTTGTGGGCTGATTATGAGTATAGTGATGGGATTTCCTGGCTCTTTTTAGAGAACCGAGCTCTTTCGGCTCCCAACCAGCTCTTCAGGTTGTTTTGTTGCTTTAATTAATTTATTATTAACAACAATATAAAATTATGCACAAAAGGAATTACTAATGTAAAAAAAGTGGTTTTATTTATATATGTTTATATATAAATATATCAGGGTGTGCAGAATTATAGGCAAATAGTACAATGTCCACATCATCCTCTTCATGCATGTTGTCTTACTCCAAGCTGTATAGGCTCGAAAGCCTACTACCAATTAAGCATATTAGGTGATGTGCATCTCTGTAATGAGAAGGGGTGTGGTCTAATGACATCAACACCCTATATCAGGTGTGCATAATTATTAGGCAACGTCCTTTCCTTTGGCAAAATGGGTCAAAAGAAGGACTTGACAGGCTCAGAAAAGTCAAAAATAGTGAGATATCTTGCAGAGGGATGCAGCAGTCTCAAAATTGCAAAGCTTCTGAAGCGTGATCATCGAACAATCAAGCGTTTCATTCAAAATAGTCAACAGGGTCGCAAGAAGCGTGTGGAAAAACCAAGGCGCAAAATAACTGCCCATGAACTGAGAAAAGTCAAGCGTGCAGCTGCCAAGATGCCACTTGCCACCAGTTTGGCCATATTTCAGAGCTGCAACATCACTGGAGTGCCCAAAAGCACAAGGTGTGCAATACTCAGAGACATGGCCAAGGTAAGAAAGGCTGAAAGACGACCACCACTGAACAAGACACACAAGCTGAAACGTCAAGACTGGGCCAAGAAATATCTCAAGACTGGTTTTTCTAAGGTTTTATGGACTGATGAAATGAGAGTGAGTCTTGATGGGCCAGATGGATGGGCCCGTGGCTGGATTGGTAAAGGAGCAGAGAGCTCCAGTCCGACTCAGACGCCAGCAAGGTGGAGGTGGAGTACTGGTTTGGGCTGGTATCATCAAAGATGAGCTTGTGGGGCGTCAACCGCACAGCACCGCACGCACCACAGCACACACACACCCACACACACACACACACACACACACAACACATACATACGAGTTATAAACATATTTGAGAAAATCATATTAGAATGCAGGACTTTGTTGGGACATTGTGCTGAGAGATTTGTAAACTACTTTCACAGCTGGGTGAAGTTGGTGGAAAGTTACATTTTAATAATAACTTAAATGAATGCATGCCCTTGTGCAAAAACATCACCAAACAAAAATGATATCATTTGGGATTACAGATGATAGATGACAAACATTTTTACATGAGCCACTGAAACCGAGCTCACTGTCCAAGTTTAGCAAATGTAACGTTTCAATTACAGAAATACAAAGATACCCTTCTGCACATTTTATGCAACAACCTGGAAATATTTTTAATTAAAGAACAAAAAGGTTAATGTATGAGCAGGATGAATACATCATGATATATACAATAATTCAATAACAATTAAAAAAAAAAAGAAGAGAGTGAGCTTACTTGATTTAGATTCTTGGAAAAGATCTCCTATATCCATGCTAATTTTAGCACAGAACATTTTGTTTTTTCCCCCAAATCATGGTAAAGCATCATGGTCTCTGTGATTTTGCAAATGGTAATGCAAAAAAAAAAAAATCAAAGACCTGTATCTCTTACATACTTTCCTTAGTGATTAATAAAGTATTCTGATTCTGATTCTGTAGGACTAGCTTAGTTTTCTGGAAATACACCACCGGGCTGGCTCAGTTCTTTTAAATTCCATTTTTCTACTACTTATTTGAACTCTTATCTAGAGGTAACAATCTAAGCAGTGATGCCAAGATCCCCCCTTTTCCAACAACACCGAGGCACCACAACAGCCAGTGCAATACTCACGTCACTGCAGCTGACTGTCAAGCTCCTACTCCACGCATCAGTCACTGGTGTAAATTTCAGCAGCTATTGCTCAGTTAAGGAGTTTCAATCATTTGAACCAAGTGAGCATTACCTTGCCATGCACTTATTCTAGTACAATTTACGTTTCCTTTTGTTTTCATTTCTTAATAAACCTTTCTGTTCATCTCCTTCAGGTAAATTTCTCAGGAGGTTGTGATGGTTATTGATCTCTTCAAAAAGAACATGCATATTCTCTGTCATATGGGCCTGCATGAATAAACTTTCTGAATCCTTTATCATCCGCAACTGAAAATAGTTGTGAATGATTACTATACCTTTCTAATGTGACGTTGTTGTCTCTGGCTCTCTTTCCCTCCTGCTCTGTTCCTGTGTTACTGTGAGTGTAACTACCGCCCCTCCCCCCTCTTCCCAGCGCAAAGCACAAGTCCTGTGCGGAGTGAAGCTGAAAAAAAGTGTGAGAGAGGGAGAGAAAAAGAAAAAAGAAAAAAAACCTTGTGTCGTTCACTTCAAAGAGTCGGCTCTAAGAGCCATTTCGTTCGCGACCGACACATCACTATTAGCAACCATTCTGAAGCACTAGTTTTAGCATTGCGGCTTTTCTTTGAGCTAAAAGTATCCAAAGATTGAATGCTCTGTTGTTACTAATGCTTGCCAGTGAGATGCATGCATAAACAACAGGTATGAACACAATGACAGACTAATAAAATGACAGAATTTGTCAGAACTGGTAACAAACATCTTCTTGGATGGTCTTTTAGTAGACAACAAATAATCACACAAGCAGTTGCTAGCCTAGCAAGCACAGCTAATGTCTTTTCACTAAAATGGCTAACCACTTTCATAACAACCGACCCTTTTGCACTTTAACATTTTTTTCCACTGATAAAGAAATTGGAAAAGTGCTTTTTTTAATTTCAGTAGAATTCATATTTTATTTCTTCCAGGTGTTAATTTAACATTTTAACACTAGATTAACGTTTTGGTTACACAACAGATATTTAGCACAATGCAGTTTTAAATAATATAAGCCCCCATATAAATAGAGATATTTAGTGATTGTGGAGAAGTAAGTAAATGGTAAATGGACATGTATATCACCTTTATATCACCTTTCTACAAGTCTTACTCACCCAGTCACACACATTCATGCTGGGCTTATGTCTCAGCACTTTTTAACATTTACATGAATGTACTGGGGTCAAAATGAGGTTCACTATCTGATACTTTGGTGTGCATTCAGTATGAGAGCATTAAGAATGAACCACATCATTGACAAATCAGTGACAGTGCTTTGAGGTCTGTGGTCTCTTTGAGCATGTGATTCTTCTTGGAGAGGTCTGCCATCCTGTGGCAGTTGGAGGACACTACACATGTTAAGCTTTTCGAGGCAGAGGGAAAACTCGGCTGCTCAACACTCGGCATGCCTTCAACTTCTCAGCCTACCATCTTTTTTTAATTGAAGACAATGACTAACCTCATTTTTTTGTTCCCCTTATACAGCTTTTATACATATGCTACTAAGAAAAACACAAGGATGTGTTGGGGGAAAAAAAAATCACACATTTAATCTTTAATGCATGTCCTTCTTTACTACATTAATGAATCTTCCCTTTGGTCCTCCAAGAGATCCACTACTCTGTCAAACATTAAATTAATCTGTGTGCATCCCACTCAACGAACTGTAGTTTACTATGGGTATCTTGTGTCATGGTCCTGGGTCGGTGACCCAGCGCTTTTAGTTTATCATTTTCTAGTTTATTATGATGATGATTATTATTGTTTGGGTTCTATGTGTTATATTTGGTCTGCGTCTCTGTCTGTCTATGGTGTCACCCTGTCTGTTTGTCATACATACATACATACATACATACATATTTGAGAAAATCATATTAGAATGCAGGACTTTGTTGGGACATTGTGCTGAGAGATTTGTAAACTACTTTCACAGCTGGGTGAAGTTGGTGGAAAGTTACATTTTAATAATAACTTAAATGAATGCATGCCCTTGTGCAAAAACATCACCAAACAAAAATGATATCATTTGGGATTACAGATGATAGATGACAAACATTTTTACATGAGCCACTGAAACCGAGCTCACTGTCCAAGTTTAGCAAATGTAACGTTTCAATTACAGAAATACAAAGATACCCTTTTGCACATTTTATGCAACAACCTGGAAATATTTTTAGTTAAAGAACAAAAAGGTTAATGTATGAGCAGGATGAATACATCATGATATATACAATAATTCAATAACAATTAAAAAAAAAAAGAAGAGGGTGAGCTTACTTGATTTAGATTCTTGGAAAAGATCTCCTATATCCATGCTAATTTTAGCACAGAACATTTTGTTTTTTCCCCCAAATCATGGTAAAGCATCATGGTCTCTGTGATTTTGCAAATGGTAATGCAAAAAAAAAAAAAAAAATCAAAGACCTGTATCTCTTACATACTTTCCTTAGTGATTAATAAAGTATTCTGATTCTGATTCTGTAGGACTAGCTTAGTTTTCTGGAAATACACCACCGGGCTGGCTCAGTTCTTTTAAATTCCATTTTTCTACTACTTATTTGAACTCTTATCTAGAGGTAACAATCTAAGCAGTGATGCCAAGATCCCCCCTTTTCCAACAACACCGAGGCACCACAACAGCCAGTGCAATACTCACGTCACTGCAGCTGACTGTCAAGCTCCTACTCCACGCATCAGTCACTGGTGTTAAATTTCAGCACCTATTGCTCAGTTAAGGAGTTTCAATCATTTGAACCAAGTGAGCATTACCTTGCCATGCACTTATTCTAGTACAATTTACGTTTCCTTTTGTTTTCATTTCTTAATAAACCTTTCTGTTCATCTCCTTCAGGTAAATTTCTCAGGAGGTTGTGATGGTTATTGAATTCTGTTAAATGTGGAAGTACTGAGGAGTGTCTACGCTGAGGAAGGCGGGTGCTTCGATGGGGTGAGACACTGGAGTTGATCATCTGGTGGCTACTGAGAGCAGAAGAAGGGTTGGATGTTGGTGAATGTAGTTGTAAAATATCTGGATTGCTGTACATACGGTGGTTTCTTTGAGATATGTGACCAGGGTCTGGAAAGCTGTCTTGTCTTTTGATAACAATTTTCGAACCCCTGCTTTTGAGTAAGTTGCCAGATTTTGTAGTGTTAATGCTGGTTGAAGCTGAAGATGGGTTTGGATTGTACACACTGGTGACGTTGTTAATGTCAGGGCTATGATTTAAGAATAATTGTGAGGGTTTTGGAACATCTCCTGTGGTTGTGGAATGGCGTCGAACAATTGTTGCCCTGTCGTAGTGAGTAACTTTGTTGTTCTGTATTTTTATGGTCTCATCGTCCATAAGAAACTCATTCATCTGCCCATTGTGGCCATTTACCAAGTTGTCCGTTGTCAGTAGGTGGTAGCTTTCACACGTTATACTTCGATCTGATGACTTCTTGGTCTCTAGCTGCTTTACAATAGCTGTAAAATAAAGAAAAAAAAAAAAAAAAAAATCAGCTGAATAATCTAGTTGTAGAAAGAAACCAAAATGTATACAGCTACAAGAGAATTACCCTGCTTTTCACTTTATTTATGACTTCAGAAACACTTTCCCAATCACTGTTTTGGGAAAAGAATTCCCAGGACTTATTTGTCCAGCATGTCAAACAGACAAACAGATTGGAAAGAGATCTGGGGAATTTGAAGGGCAAGTCAACACCCCAAATTTATTGTTGGGCTCCTCAAACCATTCCTGAACCATTTTTGCTTTGTGGTAGGGTGCATTATCCTGCCAAAAGGTTCCACAGTTATCAGGGAACACCTTTCACATGAAAGGGTGATTGTCTACAACAATGTTTAGGCAGGTGGTACATCGAAATAACATCTACATGGATGGCAGGACCCAAGGTTTCCCAACAGAACATTGTCCAAAGGATCACATTGCCTCTGACAGCTTGCTCTTCTCCATGATACCAGGTGTTCCCCAGGTAAGCAACACAAACAAAGCTGGCCATCCAGCTGGCCATTTCTTCCATTGCTCTGTGGTGCAGTTCTGATGCTCATACGTCCATTGTTGGTGCTTTCAGTGCTGGACAGTGGTCAGCACTGCCACCCTGACTGGTCTTTGGCTATGCAGCCCCTTATGCAACTGCAATGCACCGTGTGTTCTTACACCTTTCTATCAGAACAGGCATTAACTTATTTTGCAATTTGAACTACAGTAGTGTGTCTGTTTGATTGGACCAGACAGACCAGCTCGTGTTTCCCACAACAATTAGTGAACCTTGGCCACCTATGATCGTGTTGCTGGTTCACCACTGTTCCTTTCTTGGACCATTTTTCATAGATTTTGACCACTCCAGACTAGAAACACCGCACAAGATCTGCAGTTTTGGAAATACTCTGACTAGCCTAACCATTACAATTTCTTAGACTTGCCAATTTTCTCTGATTCTAACATCAACTCTGAGAGCAAAATGTTCACTTGCTCCATAATGTTTCCCACCCACTAACAGGTGCTATGATGAAGACAAAATCAGTAAGTAAGTAAAATTTTAAGTGGTCCTAATGTTATTAAGAATCAGTGTGTGCACTTCCCAACACTGATTACTGATCACTGGACATACCTCACTATAAAATATGTCTAAGCTGCTCAGTATATATAAAAGTATATGGCTCCGTGGCTTGCCTTGCTAGCACTGTTTTTGTTTTCGTCTTTTAGTTGAGAACTGTTACTTACCAAATTTGCCACATGGCTTAAACAAAAGAGCAATCAGTCCAGCTGCAGCTAAGAGAAACCCAGCTGTTCCTCCAATGGTGATGACAACCATTTGAAGATCAGATTTGATACAGCCAGCTAAAATGACATAACACTGTGCGGTTTTATAAATAACTTGGAATATTTTGAAAATATAAAATACTCTAAAACATAAACCTCACATGGATGAAAAATGCAAATAAAACATGATTTTAGGTGTAAGATGTACACATGTCACAGTGAAGTCCCTGCATACCTGGTATGAGGATTGTTGTTTCCCTTGTCAGGTTAAACTCTGGTTGATGAACTCTGCAGGTGACACTAAATGACATAATTAGTGTTATATTAGTGAAAAGCTCATTTTACTGTTAGGTGGTTAGTAAAAACATCATCTGTAGTATTGTGCAAAAGTCTTGAGCGAGTCTTCATTTATATGGGAAAAAGTGTCCTCGTGGACCGTGACCTTTTCATTGTGTGAAGTGTCCTGCAAAAGAATTATTTTTTTAAAGCTGTGTTTTACCATCTTCCTGGCAGAATAGAAAGAGAGAGGTTCAAATGTTTTGCAGAGTACTGTAAAAAAATTAATGCCAAGATGAATATTTTGTTTCCTCATTTCTAAACCACTTTATAGATGTTTTAGAAAGTATAAGTATATATGTATAACCTGCTGGTAGCTCTTTGCAGAGTGGCTCTTCGTGTCACAGTGAAACATCCACGGGCATCTTGTTCTCTTTTTGGATTTTCCTCAGAGATCTTTTTTCCTTTGTCATCCAGAAATGTTATCTGAGGCTCTGGCAGCCAGCAGTTTCCTTCGCAATGCAGAGCTATGTCACCGCCCTCCACTGAAATCACCGAAAGCTTTGGCTCCGAAACAGCCACTGTAAAAACACCAAAAACAGATTTATGTTTCTGCCACACATGTATCCTAATTTCTTGCTTGTTCTACTCTTGTTTTTATACTAAAATATATGATGTCTAATCCTAAATCTTTTTATAGAACTTGCTTCTGAAGAAGAACGAAAGGCACTCTAAGTGACACATATCCCATAAAAACTGCTGTTAAACAATTCAATTATTTGCAGTGGCTTGCAAAAGCAGGACAACGACCCTAAACATAAAGCCAGGGCAACAATGGAATGGTTTAAAACAAAACATATCCATGTGTTAGAATGGCCCAGTCAAAGTCCAGATCTAAATCCAATC